AAACCAAAAAATCTGAATCCTCTTTTCATGGATAACCAATTGTACTGCGCAAATTTATTTTTCTCGAACTTCCTTGATTTCTTCCAACTTATTGTTAATGTTTTTCTCCAAATTCTGCATGCAATTGCTGGAAGGTAAGAACAGCGACAAATGTACATAGTGTTCTCCGCTTTCAGTATATGAATCAGGTGTTTTTTTCTGATGTCGTGCACATACAAAACGAAATTTTACATAAGAAATTTTTGTGATTTTTTTTAACACATGGTTTGGGGTATCAAGTGTAGATATGAATACTAGTTAACATCGCTACATGAAAAATGTAGTGTATAGGGGTATAATAGAAAATTAGTAATATAGTTTTTTAATTATGGTACATCTCACTTCTTGCGTTATGCATTAAATTAGACACATTTTATAATTATCGTTGTGATGAAAGACTTTTAACATTTCTTTTTACACCTGTTGGTTTTGCAGGAACTCGACGAATACATAGATTAAGCTTTTAAAGTGAGAATTTCTCTTCTCCTTTACTCGTTGAGTTAATATTATATAATTTTTATTAATCGATTCTGTGGAAAGAATTCTATATTAAGGAACTACTCTCAACAACTAAACACGAAGAGCTTAAGATTTCTTTCTCACATTCGCTTACCAATAGGGACCGTGTGTCTTACATGATTTTAACGAGGTCAAAGGACGTGCACGGGTTCCACATGTTAGACCCAAACGAGTTGTGCAAACAAACTTTTTGAAAAGTTTATTTTCTAATATTCAAGTACAAAAGTCATGTAAGTTATAGTTGAAACTTTCACAAGTTAGAGATCTTGATTGGATATATTTGTAGTAACAATAACGAACTCTAATATCAAGAAAAAGATAAGAAAATCTTTAAATTGTTAAGACTATTTTTTTTAATCTGATTAAATCGTATCGAAGAAAATGTTTTTCAATAAAGATTTATCAGAAAGATATTTATACAAATCTCATATCAAATAAAAAACATAAATTTAGTATAGATAAAGGGATTTGAAAGCAATTATGAAGACTTATAATTTCAACAATAAGAATCAATCTTTTTCCTATGTTAAAATCTTGACTACAACATTGATGAAAAATTAATCATGTGATCAGTCAGTCGAAAACATCTATAATGAGAATGATTATATCGATGTGTACTGTATAATATATATATATATATATAAAGAAAATGTTTTACAAGATATAATCCATAAGACATTTCTAAAGTTATATAAAATAACACTACAAATACTGAAAAAACTATCAGAATCTTTTTGTATCGTACATTTATCATTGTAATGTTAATATACAACAATTTCCTGCTGTGACTTCTTTATTATTCTTCTTATTTTTTAAGTATGTAACGAATTTTAAATTTGCTCGTCCACATAAACACCGTTCGTGTTGTTTGGCCATTTGAACATGTTTAACAACAATCCATTCCTTTTTTTTAGAAATTGAATAATAACCAATTGGTAAAAGAATTCTTATAGGTAAAATAAAATGCTTTTTTTCAATAAAACATACCTCTAGAATAACAGACCATTGTTTCCCAACACTTAACTTTGCTATTTTTGATCGAAATTTTTGCCCAGTTTTATTAACAGTTAATGACTTCTTATCTATTTGACTAGTTTTACTTGTCCATGATGAATTACAAAAACGTGCACGCATTAACTCAGAATGTTTAAGAACATTTTTTAATAACTTCGTGTTTAATTTAGGAGGCATAATGTATCTTTGAATATTTCGTTTGCATATGAATATTAAAAATGCTGAATCTAATCCCTTATCAGTTTGATGCGAACATGTTATTAACGATATATCTGTTTTTTTAAAGAGTTTATAGAATAGAACCAGATATATCTAATTTCGTAAGGTTAAACATCGGGCACCATGATTAGTGTTAAAAAAAAAAGATTAACTACACCCTTTCTATCGAAGACGGACTAGCAGAACACAAAAGTATACGTCCATCTCAGCAAAGACTTTTAGGGGCAAACAGAACAGTAGCTTGACCTTTGACCTAGTCTGATGTTATAATATGAAGAAAAGGTAAAACTTAGCTCCTTTTCTTTCGGTCCGTTTACCCCTCGAAGATGTTTTTCTTTCGTTCTTTGACCATGTGTTCGTTTTACATGTATACATTTAAACAGACTTGGTATATAATTAATGTTTATGATTGATAAAAAAAAAGTATTATCCTGTTGAAAATATTAATAGTGCCACAAAGTTAGGATTGAAAAGAAATCTAAACTTAAAAATGGATCTAGAACCATAGATATGACATATAGTTTTGTCAATCGTTAAATGATGTGAAAAATACCATTGTTGTCGATTTTAGCTATATTTGGAGACAAGATAAAAAAAAGTTCTTGTCAAGAGAGACAAAATTTCATTTTTTTTGTTGCCGTTTTTCGTACGATATCAGATCATGCTGAAATAAAACAACAACTTCCATGATCTTGGCTTAACTCATACTCTAATACATAAGATGGTAATCAAAATCATGAACCACACAAAAATCAAATGGAAATTTGGGTGTGGGTGTGAGTATAGTTCTATTCTGCGCTCATGCATCCGGACCCACCCCCACCCTCACACCCACACCACACCCGAATTTCATCCTGGTAATAGTTTAAGGACCCCCCCCCCCCCTCAAAAAAAGTCAATTTTCGTCAAAAATTCAGAAATTGAGATAATACATGGGGGGATAGCCCGCCATCTGCTCTTTCATAAACGATAATTTGTTTTTCTCGTTACTTCATTTTTCCCAAAAAATTTTCAAGATTTCCGTCAACCCCTATTCGAAAAACCCGCTGTTTTTTGAATAATCAAAAAATGTTTTTCGTTTTTTCTCAGTTTCCGCTTTCTCAAAAGCGCATCACAAATTTTCCTTCCTGGTTCGTTCAATGTATTAATATTTTTTTTGTTTGAAAGAGCATCTCAAGGCGCAGGGCATGATGGGGCCATTTTTTTAAATTAAGCCTTTGTTTGGTTAATACACAACCAGTTATATGATTTGGTTACCATTTTTTGACACTTTTTTCAGTAATTGAACTTGTGATATCTTTTTTGCGCTTAA